ACAAATCATCAGCAGTTCAAACAACTGAGTCTGAACTTCTCTCACCAAGACGGGTCATATGTTATCAATAAATCTAGATTTTTCCAGGAAGCGAAGGTAGAGCCCCTGGCATTCCTCCTGAGATGCCCGTGTTAGGCCCTAGAAGTATCTGGAAAAGAAAAAGAAAATAAGGCACTGTACAAGCCTAGGGGTGTCACTGCACCTTCACCATGCCTGATGGGCCAGATCCCAACCGCCAAGCCCCACAGCTGCACATTACCTGCCAGTCTACCTAGGGGCCCGACAAATAAAAACAAGCGTTTCCCACTGGCAAAAGCCTCCAGAGCCCAGGCTCACCTGCCGCTGCTGCAGCTGCTGCTGCTGCTCCATTTGCAACTTCTCAGTCTCAAAAACAACAGGAAGAACCAGGATCATAAAGGAAGTGGTCCCGATCCACAAGGCTGCCCTGGAAAACCTGTACATTTTTTGAGCCACAAAGAGGGAGAGATCGAAAGTGGCTCCGGCCGCGGACCGGACCCTCTCGGGGAACATCTCCGTCAGACCCCACAGTCTCTCTGACAAGGTCTCGTCTAGCTCGTCATCGTCATCCTCTTCCAGCTCTTCCTCGGTCTTCTCCGCGTCCCCTTTCGGGAGCAACTCGTCTGGGGACATGGGCTCCCCGGCACCGGCTGCAGCGGTCGCAGCGGCCATGACCGTAGGGAACACCCTGTATTTGTAACTTTGAAAGTGGTCTTAAAGACCTATAATCTGAATACTGAATGCTGTGGCATTATAAGCATAATGGTCTTTATTTTCACAACAAATCTTAATGGTATTCTTCATTTTCCATGTCTCTATAACATATTATAGTCTGTTTATGTACATAAATTCTGTATGTTTATAAGCAACATTTGCTCAATTCAGTTATAGCCATAGTAAAAGAATAAATGTAATCTGAAGAGCAAGCAGACTATCAATTTAAACCATGGGATCTAGGAGTAGTGGCTGGGGAAATTCATGTCTGAAGCTTCTTTTAGCTATATTCTTGCATATGCATGGAGGCCTGTTCAAAGCCTGTAGTTGACTGCACCAGTTACTATTATCAACCTGACTGGATTAATAAATTATATTGATTAAATTAAAATTGTGAGAAATGGGTATTTTATGATTTCTAACAATGTTCCAGTCATCAGATCAAACTTACCTTTTTATTAATGCAGGAGAAAAAGCAATTGGATTATGAAGGAGGTGTGCTCATCAGTGGGTTAATTCATGGTACTTATAGATGGCTGTGTTGCTGGGAGGTGAGGCCCACTTCTGGAGGCAGGTCACTGAGGTCACTTTTGAACAATGTCTCTCACGGTGCTATTCCCTTGTACTCAAATTTCCAGCCAGTATGGAGTGAGCAACTTCACTTCACTATGATTTTGCTGTATTGTTCCTGCCTTGGAGCCAGCTCTCTAGAAACTAAAGCCTCTGGAGCCACTAGCCAAATGCACTATCTCTTCCTGTAGGTTGTGTATGTCCTAGCATTTTGTCCTAGCAGTGAGAAAGTTGATCAATATAGTGACTGAAAGATGAAAGGTTAGTTGAGGTATGAAATAGTTTGTTAAAATAGCACACATATCTAAGAAGAATCCTGGCTCACCAGGAGTGGTGGCCATGTCTATAATCCCAGCACTAGGGAGGTGTAGCTAGTAGGATCATTAGGAGTTCAAGACCAGCCTGTGCTACAAAGTGAGCTCAAGGCCAGCCTGAACTGTATATCTGTAGCAAGGCCTTGTCTCAGAAAGCAAAAAGTAAAATAAAGAAAAAGGAGGAATCCTGGCTCAAACTTGGTTTTTTTAAGGATATTTTCACACTATAAGAAATAAAAATAAACTAAATTAGAATATTGCATTCATATATATATATATATATATATATATATATTAGATTTTATTTAACCCTTTTCATTGACATTACCATTTGTTTCTGTATTTTTGATACTATTTAAAACAATACTTTAATGAGAATCTTGAAACATATATTACTATTTGTATCTCTAAAAATTTCCATAGTAGAGACTTATGTAAATAACATTATTATATTAACTTTTAGGCTCAAGAATCCAAAATAATTCAGACTTACCTAATATTGAATTATAAATTATTTTCTAACATTTCTAATGAAAAATCCATGAACGAATTTGTGTATTATACATTTCATATCAGAATGAATTTCACATATATGTATCAATGTTTTTGTCATTTATAAATGGCATAGAGGATATATCCTTCAATATCACTGATTTATATCTCTGTAGAATCAGAGAATACATGATGTTAATACAAGTTATCGCTGGGATGAAGGATGGTGATATCTGTTTACTTTGTAGTTAGATGAGTTTCAGACCATGCAGTGCTTGATACATTGTTTCAATTTAAGACGTTAAAAGCTTATCTGAATTGGCTCAGCAATTCCACACCCTAGAGCGGGGAAGGCCTACCCTAGAATGACTCAGCACAAAAAAGATATAAAAGAGAAGTGAAGATGGATGGTACTTCCTCAATACTTCCTCTGAGGAGCTCCAGGGTTCCCAGTCAGCAGGAAGGGAAGGGACAGAGGCTTTCTAGAAGCAGCAGTGGTTGCTTCTCTCTTCGCTCTTTGCTGTTTTCCATAGCCATGAACTGCTGCCCTTTGCCTGTACCAGCCTGCCTTGGAGTCAGCAGAGTATGGACTGAGACCTCCACTAACTGTGGAGCTAAATAAAGCTAAATAAACCTTTCCTTTCTTAATTTTTGGTGTCAAGTATTTTGTCCCAGCAATGAGCAAACAGTGACTGAGATACACCATAAGATATTTTATAATAAAATTATGAAAGATAAACATCAATGTACCTTTTCTTGAAAAGACACTCATAAAATAAAAAAAAAAAATATATATATATATATATATATATATATATATATAGTAACATACATGAAATTTTATCATTAAATGTTTTATGAGATTTATTTTATATGTGAAAGATTTTGTCCATCAGAACACTGTTACTACACTTGCCTTACAGGAACTGTTTTTCATCCCTGTGGCAGTGTGAACAGGGAAGGACTGTGAAGAGTTTTCATTGAGAATGAAGCAAAATCAATGTTTGGAAACAGCTGCAGTAATTGTGAGGTTATAGATACCCTCACATACAGATGAAGCAGAGCAGTGCAGTTGTGCTCTGGAGCCTAGTGATTTAAATATTGCTACAAGCTTTACCCCTCACTGTGTGACTTGAGGAGAATTAAGTCTTATATGCCTCAGTTTTCTCACCTGCAAAATGGGGATAGAAGCTGATTATAAAGATCTAATGGATATTGAGCCAACAATACTGAAAAATTGTCAAAAAATTAATTTTAAAATTTTGGTAATTATTATTAATAAAAGCCTTCCTATACACATTCCCCAAACTTCAGTTTGTTGATCAATATCACAATTCCCTTTTGAATGGGAGCAAAAGTTGTTGTAAATAAATTTTTATTTGCCTTTGTAGAGGTATGTGAGATCCTCCCTATTATCCAAAAGTTCTTGTGTAGGCTCCTTGGCTGGATCTAAGAATTTGATAAAGGTGCTGGCTAAGAAGAAAAGAAAACATAAACATTTAATTAATTTATATGTGTGTGGAGGTCTTCACAATAGAGTGAAGTCCAATGAAATGTACAAATTTTGGCACTTTTATACTGTTAAAACAAATATTAATAAATTTGTGAAAGAATGACAAGACAAGTGGATCTCCGGAGAAGGATAAGAAATTCTAGGAATGTTATCAAGAGTTATCGTTGTGTGTGGGAAGGGGATTGTAAAAGCTAGCAGATTACTAGCTAGTGAAGGTTAATGTCAATGAATTTGTTTATTTAAGTTCACAATAGTGTCAGTTACCAGGTTTTGGTGATGAGGGCTATTTTTCAGTTTTCGTTTGTGTGAGAGCTAATATAGCTCATCAACTCGCTTAAAATGAGAGATTCTTAGAAAATTAGTAAAGCACACTGCTTGGTGTTTCTGCGAGGGTACTTCCAGTGAGAATTGGCATGTGGGTCAGTGAACTGAAGTGGGGAAGAACCACTCTGGGTAAAAGGCTGGAGGCCCGAGATGGGACAAAAAGTGGGAGAAGGAACACTAGATTCTTCCGCTTTTGAATGCCAACTTGCACCAGTGACACTTGAGAGAGAGTTCTGGGTCTTCATGCTTGATGTGGGGATGTATCATTAGTCCCTCTTCTGAAGTTTTCAGTTTATTGGACTCCTAATTTCTCCAGTTCTCTAGTTGCAGGTGACGATTGTAGAACTATCCATTCTCTGATGAGATAAACCAACCTAATAAATCCATGTGTATACTCTGTTGGGTCTATTCCTCTGGAGAACACTAGTACAATATAGGAAAGATATTTCTTACAAAACAGCTTTTATGGATTGTTGCATGTAGGGAATGATAGCTTTTTCTCCAAATACAGTTCTTCAAGTAACATACCTCTTCAGAACAGATCCCACCTTCTAATTGCAAATCAGGTATAAAATCATCAGCAGACTAATCCATGAAGATTATCATGTCCCATGATCCAATCACTTTCCTAAAGCTCCACCTGTGAGTGTATGAGGTTTTGTGGGGACACTTAGATATGAACTATAACATTATACCCCTGGTTCTCAAAAGATTCATGAATATTCTTGCATGTGAAATACATTTAGTCCATCTCTAAGAGCTCTCATAAAGTCCTAACAGTTTAAGCACTGTTGAAAAGTCCAAGTCCAAAGGCTTCTTGGATTTAAGGCAAATTCTTAGCTATGAGCCCATGTAAATTCAACAGAAAGTTAAGCTTTGCCAACATATAAAGGTATAGGGTGTACGTTTCCATTCCAAAAGGGAGAAATAGGGGGCTGGAAAGGAATGAGATCAAAGCGAGACCAGAATCCAAAAGAGCAAACATTAAATCCTGTAGTTCCATGTCCAACACCCTGGGAAAATTGTGGTGAGATGTAAGCTTCAGAGGGCTTGGCTATCCCTGCCTCTGTAGTACTGCTGGTGCTTGCATTCCCTCACACCCTCATGGCTTTTTTCTTTTGTTTGGTTTTGCTTTGTTTTGAGACAGGATCTCACTATGTAGTACAGGCTGGCTTTGCTGTCTCTGTAGCCCAAGCTGACCTTGAACTCACAGCAATCCTTCTGCCTCTACCTCCCAAGTGCTTGGGTTACAGTTGTGTGCCTCCACACCTAGCTCATGGCCTCTTTCTTGGACCAATTTTGTTTTCTCTCTGTGGCATTCTTTGGACATTCCATCCTTTTGTGTTTTCCAGTGGCCTGGGGTCTCCACTGCACTTTCAGCTTCACTCCCTCTACTTCCTTTTTTTAAAAATTAAAATTAAAATTATTTATATTTTGAAGAGTAAAAACAAATAGCAGAAACAAAGTCAGAAACAGGGTAACATACAATGACACATATGTTATAGATTTTAAAAATAAGGATAGCAAATCAATAATGCTTGTTATATTATCTATTTCTATCAGCAAATCTGTTGCTCAGATTAACAGATAAAGTTATGCAAGATTGGACAAATAATTGAATATTAATGCTTGCTTTCAATAAACCTTAATTAATTTTTTCTTGTTTTTTTAACTTTTGTTTATTTTAAAGAGAGGATGATAACTGATAAGACATTAGCAATGATATAAACTTAGAAGACCAAAATGAGAGCCATT